CTGTAGTCATCAGTTCTACAGTGGAAGCCTTCTCTGGTACAGACAGCATTACCAACTGCACTCCAAAAAATAAATTGTAAACAAGAGGAAAAAAAAAAAAAGGATTTTAGAGTATTTTAGCTTTTGTTTGCCACAGATCTTGACGGAGTTTACAGAAGTTATGTTCTGGTCTTCCACAGTTACAGTTAGCACAAGCACAGTAATCTGCCTTGATATATTCTGACTTCGGAGCTTAGTTATTTTTTAGCTTTAGCACTACTAGCAGGATCACAGGGTTTTTCATAACACAAATCATGGAAGAGTCACTTCTTATTACGAGTTGAAGAAATACAGAGTGCAACAGCCACTTTTAGAATCTAAATTATGTCAAACCAGTTTGTAAATGGAGTCCAGACTTGCTGACATCGTATCTAGACAGATCTCTAGACACTAACTTACAGAAAGCAAAGCACAGAAAAGTGGCTAGATGGTTCTTTTCTAGTGCTTAGAACAGCACTGTCCCGCTGCAAACTGACTGTGCACAACCTTCAGTTTATAAAATACTCCCATAAACAACACACCAATATAATGACTGCTGATACTAATGTGGACCTTGTATCTCCAGATTAGCCACTAATCCAGATAGCCATTAATAGCAGAGTATATATGGATGTACCCACACCAAAAGGATAAACCTACTTATGGAATAGATTATAGCAAATTAGCCTTTAAGCAAACATTGACTTAGCCTTTAAGCAAACGTTGGATAAAGCTGAGACAGAAAGAGGTTGTTCAATCATTACAGAGCTTCTTACAAAAGTATTTTCTTCCACAGGTTTTAATATGTTTATTAAAAAAAAAAAACAACAGAAGTACTCTCCTCAATTTACATTATCATATCTGATCTTAATCATGTTAGTTCTGTTCCATGTCCAGCATGAAGAGAAAGCCAAGCCAGAAAAGTCAAAGCAGAACTAATTTACTGAAATGTAACCAACAAAAAAGACCAGAAAAGATTACGTCTGTAGCTATTCTGTGTTTATTTTCTAATTCATAACTTAAAACTGTCAAGAGAAATGAAGTTACACTGCTTTTACATTCTTTAACTTTTTATTATATATTCTGATATTTGCTAATACATGTTATACATTGTCAGTGCACTGTTGATCTTGGATATAGATGGAAAAACCATGCAAAGCTTACACATCAATTATTAATCCACTAAACCAGGTTTCATAACCTGTAAGCATCCTATAAAACATGCATTATCATACAGAAAGTCATGTCTCATCTCACTGGTATCTATCATAGCATTTACGTTTTTGCAAAAAAAGCCACTTTGCTGCTTTTTACACTAAACCCACTATAAAATTACCATGTACTCAATATACACGTTTCCAACACATCTGATCAAGTGTTTATTTTATATTCCAGAACACTAAAGGATGTGTTGTGTAAATGCATCTATTTAATCTCTTGGACTCTAACTCAAATTCTGCTTTGGTCACAAATCTAAAAGAGCCTAATGATCTCACCCTTGTGTCTACAAGGGATGCTTGTGCCCATTACAAAACCCCTACACAATCTGACTGTCTCTTTTCAAAAGAAGAATAAGACATGAATAGCAGGAAGCGTGTCAGCCAGGAATGAGATAGTGACAGAGTGAAGATATTAAGACCAACTCCAGCCAACAATACAAATGTCATTTTCAAAAGCATAAAGCTTGTCTGCAAAAGGATTATAAATAATGCAAAGAATAAAAGAGCAACTTCTGCCTAAACATCTGAACAAAGCCAAGAAAATGTTACATTAAAGCCACATTTTCTTGCACAATGTTTTGAAGTTTTACCTTATCACTCAAACACTAGCAAAAGGGTATATAAATATAATGAATACCAACGGGGTCGATTCTATGAAGGATGCCAACATTTGCATGCATCACTTCAAAAAATTCTAATGATAGAAAATAGTTTCAGCCCTGTAATGCAATCATGGCAGAGAGAGTTCACCTGAGCCATAAACTGTTAAAAGCTTCCTTAGCAGAGCTGCCCAGCTAAAGTCAAAAGCCAGAGCCTCCAACGCTGTTACATACACAGATCCTTCACAACAGTTCCCTAGTCCATGTCTTTTTTTAAAAGGAAACAACCCACTAATCCAACAGAGAAAGAAGAGAGAAAACAGTTTGCAAGAAATTATTCCCCTTTTCTCCCAAATCAACATACTTTAAGAAAAAGGCTTTAAGAAGAGTCTCTTCTTTTACAAAGACCATTTATATAGATTTTTCCCTAAATATATTGCCTGAATCAACACAGTCTCCAGAATTCTTCAAAATTTTGAAAATCAAAAAATCTTTCCTATTACATCTTTCTGATTAAAGAATGTTAATCCAGTTGAAGATAAACACTAGACAGCTCACATGCCTTCAACATGTACATACTCATTTAGAAATCTCCACTGGAAAATTAATCGCAGGCAACTTCATTAAAGAACTCTCAAGAAATTCCCAAAAATCTATGCTTGGTCTACTCTGCAAAGCAATATGGTTTGGGCATCCTATAGTTCTACCAGTTCATTACTAAATATTTTCTCTCATAGCAAGATTTTTTGAACTATCAGAATATATAACATGTGCCAATTTTCACTTGCAGACTCCATATTTCCAGAAATTCTGATTGACAAAGTACTTCTAACTCTACCTTCCCTTACAGTTCTATATATTTCTAGAAGAGACAGGCTAGTAAATTTAAACAGAGTCCACTTCAGAAGGGAGAAAATACAGCTATATATATCTATATATACATAGATCCCTGAGTATTTCTTTCAAAAAGGTCCAAAGATACCTTGGAAAAACTTGGACTAATACAGACAGGATTGAGTGATTTAGTATGAAGAGCAAAGGAAAACAAGCATGTCTATCTGCTGAACTGTATAGGTTAAATGACAAACTAAAAAGCATCCGTAAAATCCAGTTACTGATAAAGAACTTTGTTCCAACACAGGTAGCTTTACGCCCTGATTATACAGCTTTTCTATCAACAGAATTTTCTCTTGGCAGTAATCCTATAACCAAGATTTAGATACTGAACAGCTTCCTGATGCAAATTCATTAAATGGCAGAATGGCAAGTGCAGAAATGGGTGAAAATGGAGCTTGCCTTCTCACATGGCCTTAAATGGAGGGGAGCGAAAGATTAAAAGTTCCCTGGACCTAGAGTTGTCATGCCTCCCTCCCAGCCCCACTCCTGAGCTCTCAGAAGGAAACAGAGCTACAAGTATAGCAGATTAAACTAACAGCAGTAATTACTAGGTGATTAGAGCAAGACAACAAATACACTGATGCCTCAAAGAGGCACAATGAGTTCCATTCCACAAAACATGTTGAAAGCAATAATATTTCTTAAGACAGTTCTTATGGCCCTGGTAAGACTAAAAATGGCTATTATCCTCTTCTGCCCCAATCATCAGGCAGAACATTTTTATTCAAAGAAGTATTTTTACTTTCAAGCTGTTTTGCTAAAGTTTTCTACCTGTCAGTTTTTTGCACAAGTGCTGGTCACAGCATATGATCCTTCTTTCTAGTACTAGCCAGTAGGATGCAAGTTTACTATCCTAGACACAAAAGCTGAAGCTGTACTTCCCTCTTCCTATCTGTAGGAGCCTTACAAGTTTAGTAACATTTTACTGTGCTTCAACAGAACCTCCTCAGTATTATGCAAGATTAAAAAAAAAAAACTTTAAATGTTTTCATAAAGCTTTGTTTTTGTTAAACTTGAAACCAACAAAAATTATGATAGGATACTTTTAGATGCCTGGGGGGGGGGGGGAAAGCACAGTAAAAACGAAGAAGTGACAAGTTTCCTATCATAATAAAAATGCTACTTTTACTTTACAAGATACAAGCAGCAGTCTTGGATAGAAATGTTTCACATTAGCAGGACTGAGTCTTGTTCTCTAACGTTCTCCCCCTTAAAAGCATACTTTAAGAAATCTTGTGCAGCTGTAGTACAGTCATAGATAAGAAGTAAGAAAAAACATGACTCTTTTAACCACATCTTTTAGACTGGCAATCATTCAAGATGCTCATACTTAACCACCCCCCTCCCCCAGAAAACAAACCCTCTTTCACATGAGACTGACGTTTCTTTTCCTGACTCCTATTTCCATGACAGAATCTGACAGAGTTCCCTAATATTCCTCTGAGTTTGGTCTACAATCTAGCAGATTCTCTTAACTGCAAGGTAAATTCTTATTCAAGCAAATTCAAACTATATTAGAGATCTCCTTCTCTGAGTATTCTCCTCCTTCCAACAGCTTTTTTTATCCCCAAGTGCTATTCAAAACTGCTGGAGCCAGTTCTATTAAAAAGTTCTTCTCAGTACAAATTCTTCTGGTAATTCAGATTCCCTGTAATCCTATGCGGAATAGGCAATTCCTATTCTGAAGGAATTATAAGCACATGTACTCTTTTGCCTAACATAAATTTCCAATGTTGAATAAAAGCTTTATCTTACCCTTTCAAAAACTGCCTGCAGACACTTCTACAGTAAAGGAATTCCTGTTGATAGCCTGCCGCTATCAGTTACTGTGTATATAGAATTACTTTACATTTCAAAAAACAGGTTTGTTATCACTGATACTTCTCTCTATATCACTTCATCATGAATTGAGAAAACTCTGTTTGTCAAAGAAACTACCTCTTTAATTGCATGGTTTATTTAGTGTTTAGGACAACAGGAAGCTAGTACCCATTCAGAAACTCTTCAACACCAATTTGAAATATAGTAGTCCCCTTGTAAATATAGGGTTAAGATTTTAAGGTATAAAGCTTGCAAAAGCCCAGGTTCAAGGAGATAAAGATAAAATCTTTACTTCCTTTTCTAAGATAACTCTTTTACTGGTGCTTAACAGTACTATGAGCTTCTCTAAATGAAATGAAACAGTGCACGTTAATTACTTGGAAATATTATAACTAAGCTGAGCATCAAGAATCTGTATCTAGCATTATGTACTTGGTTTTCTTACCTAGTTCAGTAACTTGTCGATCAAAAGGACAACGAACTGCTCTGCCATGAAGGGGGAGCCGGGTAAGACAGTCATGGCAGACAGTATGGCCACACAAAAGCAGCCGGGGAACTTTGTCACCTTGCAAAGAAAATACATCTTCACAGACTCCACACTCAAGAACCTACAATTTAAAAAGAAACCATATTTGTTTTTGAGCTGGTAAAAAAGCAAAACTTCATACCCGAAGCTACATGACACAGTTCATTTTGCAGTAATTCCTGCAATCACAGCAGATAGGCTGAATCATTAATTTTGCTTTGCACACACAAGTAATGATCATAAGAATGTCATTTAAAAAATAGACACGAATAGAGCATTTTAACTTTTCAGCATCCCACCTGATCACCACTAGTTCTCGCCCACTTCATTTAATGCACTGCCACAAGAAAAGCCCACTGGCCAAGCAGCACAAGTAAGCAGAAACGTCCTGAACAGAAGAAGGAAACCGAGGGCAAGACCCTGCCAAAGCAGACCATCAGCTGGTGGAGAAAGCTTCCATTCATAGCTGATCCACATAAAAAGGTCAGTCATACCAAGTTAGCCATTTACGAAGCTACAAACGCAGCATCGAGGTAGCAGGAACAAGCAGCAAGGGACTGGAACATCTTAAACCGCTAATAAAAAGCAAAATCGATCGTCATTTAGGGAAAAAAAAAAAAAAAAAAAGAACAAAAAAACCCAAACCACCACCCGACAGTCCGTCAGATAACAGAGACCGCTAACCACCTTTAGGGAGCCCAGGCGCCACCGATCCTCTCCGAGACAGCTCCCCGCTTTGAGGCCGCCAGCCTTCCCCTCACGCAGAGGCCTCCCGCCTGGCGGCCCGCTCCGAGGCCACCCACGGCAGCGCGGACGGGACGGGCAAAGGGCCTCCGAGGCGGCCTCGCAGCCGGGCCCAGGCCCGGCCGCCTCAGGGGCCGCCTCCCGCCCCGCAGGCCCGCCGCTGCTCCTTCCCCCAGCCAGGGCAAGCGACGGTGCAACCCCTGCCACCGCGGCCTGCCCTGCCACAAGGAGGCGGCCCCGCCGGTGTGCGCGATGGGCCGTGCAGCTCATCTCACCTTCACTGCGGCGCCAGCCGGGCCGGGGCCGCGGCCGCCGCCACCGCCGGATCCCCGGCTGCCCTCCATCCCGGCACCGGCCCCGACCTTGTTTACACCGACGGCTGCCATCTTGGAGAGGGCGGAGCGGCGCAGCCCGCGGCAGGAAGGAGCCCGGAGCCGGCAGCCCCCCTCCCGCCCGCCCCCGGGGCACCGCCCTGGCAGGCGCATGCGCTCCCCCGCCGCCGCACCGGGCCGGGCTGTGCCCGCCTCCTCGGACTAGCACCAGAGAACTACGATTCCCATCACTCCACGCCACACCGCTGCCCCCGGGCTTCTGTAGGACTACATATCCCAGCCTGCAAAGGCGGATGGGGCGGTGGCACCCTCAGCCCACTCGCCCCGGGGCCTTCTGGGGGCTGTAGTCAGCGTGGCGGCGACGAGTTGCATGCTGGGACAGCCGTTTCCCGGCCCGCCGGTATTTATGGCGCCCGGGCCTTGCGCGTAGGTTCCTCCCGTCTCTCCTAGCCGAAGCCTTTCTGCCGCCCGGCGGCGTTTTGGCCCGCCTGCCCTGCCGCGGGGGTGAAGGCCGGCGCCATGGACGTCAACCAGCCCAAGCAGGAGCACTTGCTGGCTCTGAAAGGTACTGACAGCGTTGCCTGACGGTGCCCGCTCCTGCCGCGGCGTCTGCCGGCCCTGCCCTCGGCCCGCTCCCTGCCCTGGAGCCGGCCCTCAGGAGCGCTGCGGTGGGATGGGGTTGGGGGGGGAGGCAGCGCGGTCTCCGGGTTGTCAGCCGGCGGTGGAATAACGTCTCCGGAGAGGAGATCGTTTTTTCCTTCCTCCGCTTCAGAAGGAGAGGGAGCGGCCCGGCCGGAGCGGTGAGGGGGGGGGCGGCCGGGAAACGGGGGCCTGTGAGTGACAGAGGGCCCCGCGCAGGGCTGTGGGGCCATCGCGGCGGCTGCGTGTTATCTGCGCTTTGCATAAGGCTTTCATCACTTATATACTGATATATACTTATATAAGTGGTTAATATATCCCTGAGAAGAGAACCTATTCTAAAAATGTCCTTTCCAGTTCCCTGCTGTCCCGTTTGGTGGGTTGACCAACCAACCCCCCTTCTAATAGTTTTTGCCCCGTTAATTTCGTGTTTAACGCACAGCTACTGGGCTTACATCATTGATTCAGGAGTCACAAATAGCGAAAATAAAAACACATATGTCTCTTGCATACACTGCAGAATTAATACAGAGGTCAAGAGAGCCCGGTAAGGGAATTTGATCATTTCTGCTGGCATTTGGGTAGCAGTAAGTCAGCAACTGAAACACCGAAAGCCTCAATCTACATTCATCTTGTTTCAAGCAGCAGACTGAATATAATATTTACTTCCTTTTTTTTTTAAGTGTTTTTTTATGAAATAAATGTTGCTAGATAAGTAAGAGTAATAAATAGTTGGTTAAAATCTCAATTCTGCAAGTATTGTAAGTCAGTGAGACTGCTCAGATGGATAAAGTAGTGCAGGTGTGCAGATGATTTCAGAGCTCATTTTCTGCCCATTTAGTAGTTTTATAACTCCGTGAGAAAAGGTTTTAATGGTGTCTGTATGTCATAGTAAAATCTGTTAACCATAATTCAAAGATCAAGAAGCCCTTTTTCATGTATGTATACATACATAAAATGAAGCCAGAAACCTGAGAACATCATTAGCTGACATTAATAATGCATTTTGATAGTAATTTATTCAAAGCAAAAAGTTTTATGATGGATCATTTTGCTTTTGTAAGAAATGAATATATTCCTTGGGCTTCTATTGAATTTGGTGCAGTGCCCAGGCTGTAGATTTTGCAAAAGAAGTGAGAAAGGTATCAGGATTTCTTTGTATTGTATCTATTTTAAACAAAGTCTTGACAGTGTAAATGATTAAGCAATCCTAGAGTTTATTGATTTTAGTATCATTGTATATCGCTGATCTCTGGCAGGGAACCTGAAGCAATTGCAAGCTTTTTAGGGCAAAAAATAGGAGAGTAGGAGAGTGCATGTTATGTTTCACAGTAGTTTTTGTAGTTCTCTGTGCACAGATTTAATCTAATATTTGTGTGAAAGAAGGCAATAATATATGAAAGTATAAAGTTGTTAAGGATTTAATTAATCTTTTAGTTATTCTAAAAGTCTACTAAATTAAGGAATTACCAGATTTTTTAGTTAGGGACTAAAAGGTTGGCTGCATGTATTGCTCAGAAGCTCTGAGATTAAAACTAAACGTGTAGTTCTTACATTAAATGGAAGCACACAGCTTCCATTTGCCTGTAGCATTTCCCTTTCAACCTGTGACTTCAAAAACTGCTATATGGTCAGTACTGTTTCGGGAAGGATGTTTGTACCACATATGTTTTCTAGTCGATCTATATGCCCTGGCAGAAAATGTTGAAGTGTAGGAGGAAAACACTTTTTTTAAAATGAGAAAATAGGCAGTAGTAATTGTATGTCTTTTAATATGCATCACAACAATATAGCAAGAATAATAACAGATGGATGGCAGATATAAGATGGTGACAGTAAGAGTAAACATTTATGGGAAGGACAGTGTGGAGTAAACTGTGTGCATACGGATAATATTCAGTGTACTAAAGTTATGCTGGTAATGATGGAAAACAGTTGCTAATGTTCACCTGGGTAAAGTAGAATGTTCTGCTATATATCTCGCTTATTTTTGCTACATGTTGCTTTTTTTGTAAAATATCCTGGCAATGTTTTTCTTAGTATGGTAGTATCTTATTTTTTTATAATACTTCTGCTTTAGGTCCTGTTTTCCACTGATCTTTGCAGCACGGGGCAAGGAAATTCTTGTAAATAAGATCTTTCAGTCTAGATATGAGAATCCTAATCAAGAGACTGTTCCTTTTCTTAAGAGTAACTGGATTCCTACTGTAACAAGCATGGAAGTGGTCTTGCATTATCGACCACATCAGAGAGATCTAATAAAACTGCAGAAATTTGCAGAAGCAGCAGTGAAGGAGTTTCCCATTCGTCAGTTACCAAGATTTACACCCTGGTTTCCAAATGATATATACCAACTTCCTCTCAAACCAAAAAAGCAGCCACCTGTTATTTCTTGTGAGGAAGCAGAAGAGTTGAAACAGCTTTCTACACCTTCAGAATATGGTACAGGATCTCCTGATTATGACTGCACAAAAAATCTCCCTGAGTTTCAGTCTAATGTGAAACACGGACAGACTTTAATCCAAGCACGGGCTGGTTACAGACCAATTAACTTGGAGAATCAAGGAGAACCACCATCTAATGGAAAACAAAAATTGAAAAGGTCTTGGAGTGTCTCTCTCCCTAGCCCTAAGCTTAAAGAAAAGATTCTTCCTTTATCCCAAGAACTGCAAAACAATTTGGAAAGACTAAAACTGCATGCATTTTATAGAGCAAAGTGGACAATTGAACAGTCTATTTGTAATAATCAGAATTTGGAGGACATCTGGATAAAACTGAATAGACTCATCAAGCAGAATGAACTGCCATCTTGCAATGCTACTATCCAAAGATCTGTGGGACAGATATGGATTTTCTGTGATATATTATACTGTGAATATGTGAGAAATATTCTGAGGGAAAAGCTAAGTCTTACTGATAAAATGAATTTGCTTGTGCATAAATTTGGAACTATATTTAGTTTATAATTGTAAGATAGTTTCATAATAAAATTGCTGTCTGAAGTATTAGAGTTTTTAAGCAGCTTAGAATATACAAACTTTACAACGACTGATGAATTACCAAGCAGAAAACCACTTAATATTACTTTTGTACAGTTTTTTTAAACTGTAATATATTTATTTAACTTTCTTTTGCCAGGAGGCTTATGATACTTCTATTAAGATTAGTAAGTTTCTGTTTGGCTTAGGACTGCATTATGTAGCTTTTCTCTACCTTGGTAGTCTAAAAGGAAAAAAAAACACAAAAATAAAAATTCCAGACTATTATGGCAAGTTATGTCAGATAATAAATTTTATGCTTTTAATCAAGCTAAGTATATCGTCACTGTGCCTTTTAAAAATATTCTCCCTTCTCCTAATTTCAAAGTGAGTTTTTACAGTTGCTATAAGGATCTGTAATGATTTTTGACACCGAGACATTTGAGATCTTACTATTTCCTGAAAGTAGTGTGTGGGGTTTTCTTAATGAAGGTGTAGTCCTCAAGTGAAATACAAACTTACTTTCTATTGCATGTAGAATGTACATGTATTGCATGTATCACTGTCTTAGTGATGTTATCCATATTTTACAAGAAATACTAATGAAAGCTTCAGCGGAAGTTGCATGCTGAAAAATAATGAACAACTTAGCATTTGCTGTTTTATGAATGTGGTAATAAGATTATTTTTTTTTCCTGATGTTTCTGGTCTTTTGTCTCTAATTATATTTGGAAAAAAGCACAAACTTCCAGCTACAGGTCAGTAAATTAAGAAATTGTACCTCTATCTGTAAACCTCTCTCTGTTGTCATTATGGAAGGTAAAAGTGTCTGAGGATTTGAATGTGTTTTGGGGTGATAAAAGATTGAGTTTAGTGTGACTTTTTGTCACCTGAAAATAAAGTGTTTCAAGGTCATGCTGTCTCTGCTGAAATTCAATGTTTGGAGAGTCAGTAGAGCAATTAAAAATCGAATCGATATGACTGCAAGGGTGCATATTTCTCTTAGGCACCCTTAGAAACTCCACATAATTTCGCTGTAGCTGGAGGTCTCAAGGTCTGTGGCATCTGGAAAAGGGGGGAAATAACTGAATGGTATTTGTAGATATATTTTTTTAGATTATAATTAACATTGGTCAAATAAAAGTGCACATAAGCATAAAGGAAATCCCTCTGTAAAAACTGAATAAAACCCCCTTGGATTTTTACTTACACTTTTCTTTTGATGACATCCTTACGTTGGAATAACTATACCTTGTTATAGCTATTACATATCTTTTTGTAGTTTAAAATTAAGGACACTGCTCAGTTTGGGTCATTGACATGTATTTCTAAACATTGTTAAGGGGGTCTTGTATTGGTATTTGGGGTGTTTCTGACGTTTAATGTTACTACCTAGCAAAATTAATGTAAAATACTGTCTAGAGAGGATCATTATTAGTTTTAAAGCTTATATAACGAAGTTATTTCATGGAAATAACTTTT